ACGATCAGTTTTCGTCCAATACAGTTAATGTTAACAACATTTATAAAACCAAAATCTCACCAAGAGGCGGTAAAATCTACCACAACCAATCTATTCCCAGCTTGATCGATTTGCTGTTGAAACTGGCTGTCGTCCTCGATAACTATCACATTTCCGTTAGTAGAGGAAGCCATATTTCTTTGATCTCGGTTTTACGAATATCCTGTCACTTTGATGAATTACAACTGACTCTTACTAAGAAAACAAAAACCAAAGGATGCGTTGAGGAAGACAGCTACTTTCCCAAGTCCAACACAGATTACAACTCGTAAAGCAGCGAACAAAAGCAGATTTTCCTCCTTATACAAAAAAGAGCCAGCGGCTTCCAAATGAGTCAGCAGCAGATTTAGGTTATTACTTCATGTTGGCAACATAAACAGTAAACAAATAACTCGGTTGTGCCGAGTCACTGGTAAACGATGGCCGGATCGATAGTGGAAACCATAAGTTCATGATAATAGAAATCTCCATAAACCATATGCAGATATGTCTTTCTAACTATATTATTTGCGTCACGTAAATTTCCTTTATAATTCCGCAAAGAGTGCTAAAAATAGAACTCGGGTTGTCAGTCTTTCAATAGCAGCATGGTTGCTTCGAACCTGATCAGCCTTTCTACAGGCTAAAAGACCAAGAAAACTCATTGAAAACATGGGCTGAAAGGTGACAAGCAAAACACTTACAAAGTCTAGTACTCGGGTGAGGAGGTACTCTCTTTTTGTAATGGCACGGAATGGTGGGAGGCCTTGCCATGATGTACAAACAAAAAATAAAATTGAAATACGAAACAAAAATTTATTTGAGTGAAAGTACCAACCCGGGTAAGCTTTCAGGCCGGTGTTCACTTGAAAGAATTGACGAATTTCAACCTTTCTAGCCAGGTCAATCCGAGTCAGATCTCGACATAACCTGGCAAGGGGGATTAACTTATTGAAAGAAGCGCTTTTCCTGATATTGCCTTGGTAAGAGTTTTAGTCTGGCTACGGTCCTGACAAACCACCCAAAACTAGAAAACGAAGCATCCAAACTTTCTTAAAAGGAAGCTTCCAAAATTCTAAACATGGCATCCGAAACTCGAAAACAAAACATCCGGGACAAAACACCTGAAACAGAAAACGAAACCGAAGAACTCAAACCCGAAAACGCAACACCCAAAGCTTCGCGACGGCGCCTTCAAGATGCCTCGTAAATTGCGAAAGCATGTCAGTATTTGTTTTATATGGTGTGTGTTTTCGCTTGGGTTTGCGCTTTACTTCAGTCTGTAGAGATTGCATCAGTTTACGCGCAGTACCAGTTCCGTATTTTTGTTGTTGTTGTTGTTGTTGTTGTTTTTGTTTACTCGTATGACCACGCCTTACTCACATTCCGAGCTACCGTATGGCCAGCGGAAATTGAAACTCTTCCGATGCCTAAAGTGGCAATGGCTCCAAGAGGACACAATTAGGAAATATAAAATCAGACCCCTTGAATTGAACAATTTCTGGTCACTTGTCCGATAAGAAGCTTGCCGACGGTTAGGCTTTGGCGCATGCCCAAGACCCAGTCTATTTGCGCAAACCAACCACTGCATCATCGTGGGAGACAAGGGAAAACAACATGAAGGTCAGAAAGGCCGGAAAGGCTGCTATTTTGTGCCGCTTTTGGCTTACTTGGCCTTTGACTGGTGCTAACGTTTTGTAGTTGGTGCAACTTCTTTCTTCTTTCTCTCCAACCCCCCCTCCCCTCCTCCGGCCAAGTGACCGTTGTCTACTCGCCTAGGGTCGAGTTGTGATTTTTATCGATGAAGTGCCTTACAACATCTTTCGTGCTAAGTTTACAACGAACGTTTACCGGCCGTCACCCATTTTTGTTTTTTATGTCGTGTTCATATTTCCTGTTACGTTACGCGCTTCCGAGCAAAAATTTAATTTTCCGTGTATCTGTGGAGGTACCGTAACACCATAACGCCCTCTGGCTTTGTTCTCTTCTCGCACGGCGTCAAACTGACAGCTTAGCAGCAATAATTAAACGCAGTGTCACGAATTACAAATTTTGAATTTATTTGAGGTCAGTTCTGTGCATTTTAAACTAAAAACCATCAAAGTGACATCTTACAAGAGTCCTCGAACATAGAAACATCAATCAAAGTAAGTGACATCATGGTGTAAACATCACTGCATTTGGATGGGTTTGTTAAGTATTTTCGCGCTTGGTTTCGTTGAGTTATTGTCTTGAGATTCATTCAAATCTATTGTTAATCCATGTCTGTATAGAAATTTATTTCGATCAACATAAAGGCGGAACAGTGAGACCACGACAAGATCACTTTAGTCTATGGAGCTTTGTACAATTTATGCAAGAAAATCAGCATTTAATGCTTTGAACTCTTAACATTCCTCTCAAAACTGGCTGCATTCACAAGTGGATTTCCGCAATGATATTATGAATCACGTCCTTACACCGCAGGAACAAAACGTTTGAAGCTAGCCAGACTGTTCGCTAGCTGAACGAGGTTTATACCCGAAAGTGAAACATAATCACTTTACCTAAAATGACATCTCATTCAGAGGAAGAGAATCAAACTCCAGAACAGATGTTGCTTGCTTTGAAGAAGAATATGGTAAGTGGAAATGTGTTGAATTGCATGAAAACAAATTCATAACGATAATTTAACTGATAATTTGACATTGAACAAGTGCGCAGCATCAAACAAAACTTCACTTGCTGTTTAAAGTTTAAATTAGTCTTTAAAAGTTGTAATAACTTTGTGATAAAACTGTTTGAGAGTGATTTACAGTTTGCTTGTAATAGTTCGGTTGGCGAAACTGTAATTTGGCTGTAACGAATTCAAAACACTCAAATGTTAATTATAAGTCACAAAATAAACTATAAACTTCGTAATTTCATCGCTCAATCTTTTAAACTAACAAATAAAGAAGCTAGTTAAATTTGATCCGGCGTCGACAGAAATCCTTTCTGGATCCATCATTTAATCCAGTGTCATGTCAAAATACAGCTTAACTTGTCTAAGGAGTGCTTCTTCAAATTCAACTCCAAAGCAAACGAAATTTGCATTCGTGCGTAAACACATGAAGGTAACTCTTGACATTAGAAATTTAAACCCCTCAAGTTTAATTTGTAACTTCCGAGGGAATGTTCCTGGATTTTGTGGTGACAGGGGAAGACATACAATAAGATCGGTAATTTTCTACGGAAGAACTTCAAACGTGCTTCAAGATTTTGGCACTTCCGAAGTCACTTTTATTATCATGCAAATTATTATTGTTCTCGTAAAAAAGATCTCGTGAGAACTGAGAAAGGAAGCTGAGAGCAAAGTCGCTCTGAGTAATTTGCGTTAGTTCATTTTCAACCTGTATTATAGAGAAATGGTTCAGGAGAAATTTCTTCTTCAAAACAAACGCAAGCCTACACTTTTGAGTTAAATGATGGTAGAAATTCATTGAAAAACGTTTCGAACAGTTGCTTGCGGTGGTTCTGCTTGGTGCAAGGGCAAGCACGCGACCAACAAATCTCTTTCAGCTTGAATTACAATGCGAGAAATGAACAGGGTAGCAGCGTAATTGGCGAAGTCTGATTGGTCGAGACGTAATAATAATATAGTATCTATAGAATGTCTATTTCGATTCTCAAACGTTTTGTTTTATTGAAAACCAAACTTGGTCTTGTGTGCGGTTTGGAGAACTAACTAACTTGTTAAACCGGTTTTGTTCATGATAATCGTCAAATTTTCCACAGCTTTCGCTCGTTTCGCTAGATTTTTTAATTCGACTGCTTAATGGTGTTGGAATTTAGTTTTTAATTTAGTTTTTTGTCAGTGGAGAGCTTTCATTCTGACTTGTTTTTCTTTCCAAATAGAAATCCCTCAAAGACGAAGAAAATTCTTTGAAAGCACAGCTCGTTTTGCTCAACGAGCAATTCCAATCACTTGTAAAATCAGCTGCAGAAATATATCCAGAAGTATTGGACGAAGAATTCCCGAAAAAAGTTGCTGCTAGAAAACAACGTAACATATCTCCCTACAGACCACTGAGAAGCCCTGATGGTGCCACAGGAAAACCAAGTGGTGCCACAAGGACACCAAGTTATACCAGGAGTAGTTATAGATCACAAGATTCGCCACACAGAAGACCTACTCTTGATTTGAAACGGTTTCCACGACGCTACACGAGAATGACCAGCGAGGAAGCCGCAGCGAAGATTCAAGAACAGTTTGAGAACGACACTAATGCAGCCGCGGGAATCGACGCTAGAAGGATTCGAAGTTCTCTGCCAAATTCGCCCACTGAGGAGACAGTGCTGGATCCTGCTACTGCAGAAAGCTCTGACGACGAACGCAGAAAGAGGTTGAAGAAAAAGATGATAGAGTCTAGAAAAGTAGATGTTGTACATCTGGGTTCGTTTTGATGACGTAGATTTCCGCTCAAAGCTCCACACCCCACCTCTCCCTAACTTTCTGGGATTATCTGTTTGGTTGTAGAATACCTACTGGAATTACCCATTTTACCCTGGAAATAAAACAACCCTCGCCCGAAGGTGCATTCCATTTAGTAGGTCCTCATAGAGTGGAGAGTGAAAACAAGCGATGGAATGAAGACGCTAGAAGTGTTTGCAGTTGTCGTGGATCGTAACTGCGTAGTGTGCTACACCGTGATGACGAAACCTACCAAGGACAGCCGGAATTTCAACCGTTTCGGCCTGTGATCGTTTACTGTCTCCTTCTCTCATAATTAATAATATTAATAAGAGTTATCAAATACATTCATATATTCACTTGCAAGGACGAATTAGTTGTCCACGGCTGACTGATAAACAGGTCAGGTCTAATTTACCATAGTGCTGTAGTGAAAGAGTGCACAGTGCCTTTAGGCAATCTCACTACGACGTAAATTGATGTAAATCGACGTAAATCGCAAGCGAGCTTCATGCAAACTAAGCCTGCTCAGGGTTCAACTTCATTCTTTCAGGGTTTGCATGCATCATAAACTTCTCCATCCACTTGGAATTTTGTGAAATCAGTACAACCTCTTTCGAAGAGACTCGTATTCTCGCGTTGATTAGCAATATGAGGTTAATTGCTTGAGATTATCAGATTTAGCCAATACATTATCAGATTATCAGATATAGTTAATACGTATAGGTAATACATTATCAGATATAGCTAATACATTATCAGTAAATGTTAAACTCCAAAAATACATATACGTTTCTAAATTTAGGCTTCATAGTCAATATTTAGTTCCGAAATCCAATGTCGTGTCATTATATTTTCATACGAAGCACAGCAGAGAAATACAATTTAATTACCCGATAAATTTAATTACTCGGTAAATTGTTGCGAAACAAATTGTGAAATAAACTGAAGAGTGTAAGAGAACTGGCTTGGTGTAATCTTCTGTCCATATCAAGTTAACTCGTAATTAAGTAGCAAAGATACCTGAGGAAAAACACTATACTGTTTTCAAATATTAAAAACGTTTATGTTTTAAATTATATTGTGGCATTTAGGCAGCGTCTACACTACGCCGGATAAATTTGAAAACGCAGCTTTATTTCTTTGGTTAGGCCCACCGTTCACACTAATCCGTCACGAAAACGGAGCTTTTCAAAAACGCTCTTCAAACCGGAGGAATTTAAAAACGCCGACTTTTCGTTTTCGTGTGGACGAAAAACATTTTGAAAACGGAGCTTTACGAAAACAATGGCATCACGATAAACATGTGATTTCCCTAACCAAATTTTCCTCAAACACAAATCCAAAATGATTGGTGATTGTTGCATTTTTAAATTCCTCCGGCGTAGTGTGGACGGAAAACATTTGATGCGTTTTCAGAGTGAAACCTCCGTTTTGAAATTCCTTCTGGTGTAGTTGTGGGGACTGGGTCTTAGTCATCGCTTCAGGTCTTCGTTGCGCAGGTCAGTATCTCTGGTTTGCGTGCAAACTCGTTCCCACGGTCTCTCATGTGCATGTTTACTGAAAGGCAAGTAATCACGATCATGATTTTTAGAGACTGAGTCTGATAACGTAGAAAATGAAGGAAAGATAGCACCTCTTTCATACCCCTGCCGAACTCAAGAGTAAAACGCCGCCTTTTCAAATCCTTTGGGCCCTTCAAAGACCGCCTTCAAACAGATTGATCAAAGGTAACGTGCATTTGAAGTCGACTGAAAAAAGCGCGGGAAAAGTGCCGTTCTTTTGGGTTTAAAAGGATTTTTGAACTCCCCTTCAATATGGGCTTCAAAAGGGTATCAAAGTATCTAAACCTTTGAACTGGCGCTGCATTCGCCCCAGGATTCTCTCTGACGTTCATTATTCGAGATGGCGGCTGGAAAAACAAGTCCATTCGTGTGTACGCATGGGTCACATGTTATAGGAACAGTACGCCAGCTAATACACACGAAGCGGATTGAGACATAAAAATGTGTTGTAGCGGAGACAGTTTCCAAGAGCAGTGCGCATGATGCGACATTGAAAATTGAGGCCATTTTGTCATGACGAACGTATTCAAACTATAAATAGTCTTGTTCTTCGAACATTCAATTTCAGAAGGAAAAGAAAACAAACGGTATTCAAACCAGCTGAATATTAGCAACATGTGCCAGGGATCAAAGTTTGTCCCCCCTACAGAACGTTTTTCGCAAAAACGGGCATGTCGACACACAGAAAACTGTTGCTGTAACATGCTCCGCTTCACTGATGTCCCCGTAGCACATCCCCTAGTGTGAACCGAAATTGAGGCGCCTTTGAAATCATACACTTTGACCGGTGTGCATGTGTCAAAGGTAGAGTGGTATCTTTCACCAAATAGCTACATCATGGGTAATCAAAAGTAGAAATAAAGTGCCGGTGTATATTTGTGTAATGATTAAGACATCTTCAGCCTAACCTTCAGATTTGTAGCCTCTTTTGCTGTTAATATGGGGCAGAAATGTTTTTCATTCTTTTTTTTTT